CCGACGGAAGCATCAGCCAATCAGATTGCTGTATGCAAATACACCAGCTAGACAGTGGCCTATTTCTGACTGAATTTCTTTGGCTGACGCTTCTATGACGATCGTTTCAGACCCAACTTCAGACACGCCTTCCGTCAAGCATTGACGCTGAAGCCCCGTGTGAATGGGGCGTTAGACTTTACAGACCTGAAACTTGCCTATAGCACTTATTAATTGTTGCTCTTATAGTTGTGTAAATTGCTTCCTTGTCCTCATTTGTAAGTCGCTTTGGATAAAAGCGTCTGCTAAATGACTAAATGTAATTGTAAATGTAAATCCCCACTAATAAAAACAGCAGAGATAGAAACAATGCCACTGTGGTAGGATGTAAACATGTTGTTTCTCACTATATTGGAGGTATTTATAAATGTAAAGTATAATAAAGGCTTACGTCACTTCTCTTGTTGCCCTTCAACTGAATAATTATGACTGAAATTTACCATAGGACCAGTATTTTCTGAATTGTTTTGCTAAAAATAGCATCAGGCAGCACCTGTTTCTGTGCAACCATTTGACATCATGCACACCTAAAATAATGGTGCCCACTTTAAAATGAACAAACTTCTTAAACTGTAAATGTTTTTTGGGGTTTCTATGACATATTTCAGTAAGGGAGTCTTCCAAGTTGTAAAGAGATGGTTCAACTAAGAATAAAAATTCTCACAAATAAAAAGACTCACACTTAAATGTTTCCAAACTATTATTAGTTTCTTTCTTGTGTTTAAAACTAAATGACTGATGACAGATTTTTCAGTTTTGGATTAAAACCTTTACTACTTTTTAAAGTGCATTTTATATCAAACAATAAGAGGTTACATATAATCTTGCACTAAAATCTACTTTGTGGCTGTTGTGTAATGAAGACCTTTTCTTTTAATGTCATAGGGGATTGTGAACACACCTAAAGTGTTACTGACACCGCTCGATATTCCTTTGAATATTTGATTTCACTTTCCTGTTGAGACAAAGCACAGAAAGCATGGAAAATTTAATCATTAGAAAATGACTGCAAGAATTATGGCTAAGTAGTAAAACAGTCCTAAAGTCATGATCAGATGTAGATGTGTGAATACCAGGGGTGCAGAAATAGATAGATATGGCAGTTGTATTTTTTCTAATAGCACAACTAGTTTTTAAAGATTAAAACATAAAAGGTTTAGGCAGTATTCTGTTTTTATGTGTCATTTTTTCTTGTCATAAGGTTTTAATGTCAACAATACATTCCATTTTTTTGTAAAATAGTATATTTTATTTGTCCTCAAGGAAATACACAGTCAGCTTAACAAAAACAACTAACTCCATGCTTCATTATAATAGGGGTTGAATGTACAGCATGAAAATCATCAGTCTGAACATTGAGCCTAGTGCTACTTCACACTGAATGTTACCTCATTTACCTCTACAAACTGATAATGGTCGGATAATTACAGTATTTGAACCATGCCAATGATATTCCAGTAAAATCCTCATTTTTGAGCTTTTCCAAATGAATGTTGCTGTCATTATCAAAAAAAGGTTTAGTAACTGTAATAAAGAGATGCATTCATGATCAGATCACAGGAGCAAGTCATAGCTTTTTTTAGTGTCTGTTGTGTTTAAAAGATATAAATTTTTTGGTACATGTCCTATAATGTGTTTCACTATTTCTTTTCATTTGTTTATTATAAAATATTAATTATAATTTAGGTTTTTTTCCATTAAATGAGGCAGCTTTTATCAGTTTACTCCAGTATATGTTTGTGTTATGTGGCTTTTAAGTTCAGGTAAGCTGTGCAAAAAACAAAAATGGAAAATCTAAAAAGACACTCTTCCTGCCTTCAGTTAAATATCTCTTGCTTAAAATATGATATAAAAAAGCTGCTATTCCTTTTATATCACTGACATCTAGTGGAAGGAAATTAAACTTTCAGAAAGACCTTTAGAAATTTTTCAGGATTTACATTTCCGATCCTTGAAAGTAATGAGATTTATTCCCTTACCGTTAATTAATATGTTAAAAGAGATCCTAGTTCATTCCACTGCCACATCAAAAATGATGGATATTAAAGTAGGTGGGTTAAATTTTGTGGACAAGAAATGTACAAATACTTTTATTAGAAAGTGTCTTATACAGGAATGCTATCCTGGTAATATTAAAATAATTTATATCCAATTATATATAATCCAACCTTTTAATAAGAACTTAGTTTTAAAAATTAGAAGCAAATATTTGACATGTGCTCCTCCAAAATACAAAGAAATACATTGACAATTATGGATGATATTTACCCTGCAAAGGAGTTTCTGAGAAAAAGATTTGTGAATTGTAATGTTTGCCAATTCTGCAAAGATATTTAAACTGTTGAACATCTTTTTCTTCATTGTAATTTGGTTAATACTCTCTGGCCTGAGGTGTATAACTGGACAAAATCCTTCTATTTGTTGTGAAATTTGGAGTACATTTGGACAGCTAAGATGATGACTTAACTGTAACTTATTTAATAATTTTACTTCAATTCTTCATCCACAAATGCAAGATTTTGAAAACAGCTGCCCAATTGTGTTCAAATATCTTCTATGTAGAATCTTTAGAAATAATGAAAGGTGAGAAGGCTAAACAATTGTATGATTTGTTTCTAGAATATGGTTTTATTTAACCCTTACAGAGTTTCTGTTTGATTTCTGCACGGTATTTTGTTCTTTTTTTTTTTTTTTTGTTAAGTTATTTTGTAAATTTTTTTCTGTTGTTGTTTGTTTGTTTATTTGTATGTTTTTTGTTGTTGTTGTTGTTTTGTCTAATTTTATTGATTTGTATTTGATTCACTGTATATTTGACATGTCTCAGTCAGCTTGTGCAAGATTATATTTGGATTGAGTTTGGCCAAATTGTTGTTTTTAAAGGCAAAAAAAAAAAACATTTCAGATCCTAACTAACTCTCAAATAAAGAATCTGTGTGTTCATGTGTTTATGATACAATTATGAAAAGAAAACAATAAAAATATCAAATATTCCGCACGTAAAGAGTTTTCTGTAAAATAAGAAAACTTTTATTAATGTATTTGTGAGTGCATAACGTTTGTGAGCATGGCTGTCTTGAATTTAGATTCTTTAAAAAAATCTAAATATGTTGCAAAGCTTAAGGAGATAAAGCATTAAACTATTGCTTTTTACAAATAGTTTGTTATGTTGAATACAATGGTATGTCTCTTGTTCTTGCAGTGTCATTGGACAAACCTGGCAAACAGGACAACTAAAGGACATTTAGGTAACACTTTACAATAACACTATGGGCTAATAATGAGTTAATGCATGCTCTAATCATCAACTAACTTTAACTACAGCATGAGTCACACGAGTTCATGTGTGAATAACAGCTACCTTAATTACTTGTTAAAACATGTTTTTTGTTAATTAATGTTTTAATTACCTCATTAGTTTATGCTTAATTAAACCATCATGAACTCATAAAATGTTAATGTATAAGTATGTTGAGACTTTACTTGGAGGGGCACATCATCATTAACCCATTTTTAACTGCTCACGAACTTCTTGTATGGCCATAGTACAGAGGTGCCCAAACTTTTACGTATGAAGGGCCAAAAAACAAATATCGTTCATCTATTTATGTATAAATGTTTCCCAGTACTGGTTTGTAGTAAAACATCTGTTGCGTGAAACATGTGCTGGATAAGTTGGCAGTTTATTCCGCTGTGGCGACATCAAATTAATAATGGGACTTACCCGAAAAGAAAATTAATGAATGAATTAAACATAATACTAAAATAATAAAATACTTATAATAATAAAAACATTTCTTTAAATAGTATTAACTAATACAGTACAATTTATGAATTATACCTTATTACAATAAAAAACAAACAATTTACATAAACATAAACAACAGCAGAGTTCAATGCTGAGTTCACTGGTCAATCAGTATCTGCCTTTGCATATTTGGTCACTGATGTCTGTCAGGTGACATGTAAGTACATTTTAAAAATCTGATTTATTTACAACATTTAATCGAAATATTTATTTTCAGTTAGTATTTGTAGCTTAGCAATAAAAAAAACAACCAACCAACCAACCAAACAAACAAACAAAAAGGTTACATTACAGTATATTAGAAATTACAGTCCCTAAACCATCGTCAACCATTCTCCCTCTCTTCTCAGATGGGATGGTGTACCAAATAAAAGGTTATCATTGGCCAGCTTTGGCCCGCGGGCCCTAGTTTGGGCATCTCTGATGTAATGTGTTTAGCCTTTGCTGAATAACAATAGAAAAGTGTGCTATCAACATCAACAGTCTGAACAGGCATTCAGGAGTGGTTAGGATGAGTTAATGGCGATGTGCCCCTCCAAGTCAGATACATGAACAGCTCGTGAGTTCATGTTGGTTACATTTAGCTTAAACTTAAAGTTAATAATCACATTAATTGACAACTTGTACTAACAAGTAATTAAAGTAGCCATTATTCACACATGAAGTCATGTGACTCATGTTGTAATGTTAGCTGATTAGCACATTTTTAGCACATGCCCTAACTCTTCATTAGTACATAATAAATAATGTTTAGTTTACATATTAATACATCATTCATGTACTGTTATTGTAAAGAGTTGCTGACATTTCCTACATGATATTTTCTTCACCTGACACTGTTTATGAAATCTGACAAAAGTCTGTTCAGCTTTCCTTTTGAGACAAAGCACACTATGAAACATAATCCTTGAGACCAGTAAAGACCTTTGCCCATTGAAAGAAGAATGCATTGTGAGTTAACCCCACCAGTCTAATACCCACCAACTGTCATTAATGAAACTTGCAGGTCATATTTTGAGGCTGAATTTACTTCATTTGGATTTTTATAGTCCAAACAAGAAGGGGAAATTGACCTGTACTGCTTTTCTAAGCAGCAAATCACGACACACGCAGTAGGTGGCAGTACTGTATGCAACTCACCAGTGCAGTGTACAATACTAGAAACCAAGAAGAACAACAACATACAGCTGAGCAGACAACGAAGACAACTAAGTATAAGATGATGCTTTTGGAAACACACATGCGCCGTTTTACTATTTTTTAATCCACATGGATTGAATGTTTTTGAGAATGTTTTGTTTTGTTTGTTTGTTGCCATTTATTGGCGTCGTTAATGCCGGTAAGTTTACTAACTATCATCCATATGTTGTGCAGTGTGCACGGTGAAGTCTGTTATTTCATCACGCAATGCTATCTTATTTTGCGTTTGTTTTTGGTGAGTTTTTTTTAGTTATGTTGAATGCTTCACTTATAAATAATGGTTATAACCTATTGTGTTTAATAGTATTGATATAACTGAGGTAAAGCTGTTTATTTTCACATTCTGACTTTCTCCTTAATATCATTTCAGAAAAGCAGTCTTCAAAGTTTATAAATAGTCGACACAAAACATTATGGCAGCTAATGAATATAAAAGTTCAACATTGTTCACAGTCAAATAAATAGGGCTAATGTTGTTTTGAAGTCATACTTACATCTGGTTTCAGACTAAATATTCAAAGTATCATGGTAAACACTATAGGGAGCATGTCACAAGTTGTCATTGAACGAATGTGCGAATATAAAACCAACTTTACGTCAATTAATGTTTTGTCTATTTATAAATTGCAAAGATTGCGTTTCTGGCATTATATTATTAAATAGAAAGTATTAATGCGTGAATATAAAATCAACCTTACATCAATACAATATAGAGTATCCCACATCATATAAAGCTGTTTTTGTTGTTGTTTATGATTTTTTAACTGCTTATAATTTGTTTGACAGAACTTTCAAAAAAAAAAAAAACATTTTTGTTTCTCAAGAGTGTTTCCGAATTCATATTCATGAAGTAAAATGGGCCTTATTGTCAGTAGAAAACATAAAGTTGAGATTCTTCATGATCGTAAAATTATGACAGGTGTTGTGTGATTAGGCATGGGCTGGTATAAAATTCTCACAGTATCATAACCTTGGATAAAAAAATAAAAAATCATGGTTTCATGGTATTGTAATTACTGTTCTAAAATATATTCTTTTTAAATGTCTGGGTAAAAAACTAAAACTTTCCGCACTTTGAACACACAATATTTTAGTTTGAGAAGCATTTAAAATATATATTAAATGTAAACATCAGGCTAATTAATTCATATAAATCATTATCTTTTGCTGTTTTCATTAGTTTCAAAAACACAAATTTTCTTACAATTTAAAACGCCATCTTTAGATGTCATTTCTGCTAGAGTTACTGTTGTCCTAAAAAAATTTTTTTTTAAATCCTATATATACTGTAGAAACGATATAGCTGAAAAATTTGGCGGTTTTAAAACCTTCTCTTTTCCAAACCGCGGTATACCTTGAAAATAATTATCATCCTATGCATAGTGCCTATGCATGAAACTATGCTCTGGGTTCTAATGCTGTCACGCTGTCAGATTTTTGCAAAAATATTAAATCATACTATGTACAGTCATGCTTTTTTATAATTTTTTTTTTAAACCTTAGCTTATAAAGCATGCATTTGTGTTTTCACAGGCTTGTGTTAAAGCATTTGTGTTTTCACAGGCTCTCACTCACTGATGGCTTTGGCAACATACATAGTTGGACAGACACCATTTCCTGAGTTCAGTGTTGTGGTGATGTTGGATGACCTGCAGCTAGCATATTATGACTCAATCGGCTGGAAAACGATCTATCGCTCTGGCAGTGATTCAAAATATTACGATGAAGAACAAAGTGATGCTGGTATTGTGTTTCGAGATATGTTTTATGACATGAAAGATCGAGCCTTTTATCTAAAAGATCACCAAAATCACACTGATGGTAAGTGTTATTGACTTAATATGAGAATTATCACAAAACAGTGAGAGATGTACAATGACATAATACAGTATAAGTAATCATTTATTTTCTTTTTTTTTTTCGATTTAAAGGTGTACATGTGCATCAGAGACTCGTTGGCTGTGAGTTGTTAAACAATGAAAAAACTGGTCCACTTCATTACTGGGATGCTTTTGGTGGACAAAATATGGAAGAGTTTATTTTTGACACCGAAAAACATACTATTCAGGTCAAAATGCCATGGGTGATAACATGGGACCAACTCAAGAGGCTTCATGAAAACTTCATGTACGACAATGTGTATCATCCTATTTGCATCAAAACTTTGCGAAGGTACCTGAATATGGAAAAGAAGAATGTGATGAGAAAAGGTAAAAGAAACACCCAGATCAACTCAAGTATAATTCAAATGATGAAGCATAATAGACTTATATAGTCACACCAGAATCTTTTCACACACCTTTAACATATATATATATATATATATATATGTATAGACACACACACACACAGTTCAAGTCTGAATTTTTAGCCCCCCTTTTGATTTTTTTTCTTTTTTAAATATTTCCCCAAATATTTCAATTGTTGTTTAACAGAGCAAGGAAATTTTCACAGTATGTCTGATAATATTTTTTCTTCTGGAGAAAGTCTTATTTGTTTTATTTCGGTTAGAATAAAAGCAGATTTAAATTTTTTTAAAAGCCATTTTAAAGATAAAATTATTAGTACCTTTAAGCTATATTTTTTAGATAGTCTACAGAACAAACGATCATTATACAACAACTTGCCTAATTACCCTAACCTGCCCAGTTAACAAGCGTCTTAAAAAATATCTAGTCAAATGTTATTTACTGTCATGTATGTGTGTGCGTGTGTGTGTGTTTGTATATATATATATATATATATATATATATATATATATATATATATATATATATATATATATATATATATATAAATATATATATATATATATAAATATAAATAAATATATATATATATATATATATATATATATATATATATATATATATAAACTGTGTCAGGTTAACTTGGATAGAATTTCAGTATGTTATGGATTAAAATCAACCAAAATATTTCAGATGACAATATTTACAAAACTGTTAATACTCTGTTGGTGCCTCAATGACAGCTTGTAGCCTTTGTAACCAAGATCATTCAAATCTGAACTTCAGTATTTTCCATTCAGACTTTTGGTCTATTGTATGAAACATTTTTGCCTTTATGTTAGTGTTTACATTTCTGTACTTATTTAATTCATAAAGATGAACTGTAGTGCACTCACTAGAAGAAAATATATAATAAACTATAATAAAATACATAGTATAATATATATATATATATATATATATATATATATATATATATATATATATATATATAAACAGTGGGTAAAATAAAAATTAAATGCACAACAAAAAAAATCTAAAGGTGTTTAGATTATTTCCTACATGCTTAGATTAGAAATTAAGCTATATGCAATAAAATGAAATTACTCAGGGAAAAGTATTATAACACATGAAGAAATAGAGGTGTAAAAAGGGCATGGAAAGCCCAGAAAACAGCTGAAATCTCTAAATTTTTAGAAAGCATAAAGAAATCAAATGAAGCTGCCAGAATGGCTCAGGGAATCCCCTGACCTGAGATTAAAAGAAATTAGTGGTAAAATTCATAGAAGAGACCCACCGACATCTCAACATTTGATGACTCTGTTGAAGTCTGGTGGAAAACATTACACCTAAGCAATGCAATGACTCATTCTACATCAAAAGATGTCTAGACGCTGTAATTACCCCAAAAAAGGATTTTATACAAAGTTTTAAATACATTTAAGTAATTTAGAACTATTTCTTTGTCTTTCTGTTATTACACATTAGATTTTAGCTGTGCTTGGATTGTGTGGGCTTTTACCGAAAAATCTGGCTCAATATTAACAGTCAACAGCTCCTTTAGAAATATATTTACCAGAAAAAAAACATAAGGGGTTCAATGCTTATTTTACCCCCTGTATGTAAGAATGAACCCAACAGTATGAATTATTATTTGTTTTCTGTAGTGAAACCCAGAGTCAGACTCATGCAGAAGAAACTATCAGATTCTCAAGGGCTTCAGATCAGCTGTCTGGCCACTGGTTTTTACCCGCGTCACATTAATCTGACCCTGTTCAGAGATGCAGAACTTGTGGATGATGATCAGATCACAGGAGGAGAGATTCTGCCCAATGGAGACGGGACGTACCAGATGAGGAAGAGTTTGATCGTAAGTGAAGAAGAGCTGCAGAAAGGACATAAATACAACTGCACCGCAAACTACCTCAATCTGGACAACAAAATGGACATTGTGTTTGGTAAAAAAAAAAACAGTCTAATAACCAAAATGCCAATCTGATTATGAAAGAAATGTCTGGTTACATTACTGTGTCTAACTTGCTGGTTGTTTTACTTCTGTTTTTTTATTCTCAATGTACTTTTAGATGTGGCTGAAAGTGACCCAGGATCCTTCAGTGTGTCAGTAGTGATGGGTGTGCTGGTGTTCGTGGGTTTGTCTGTTCTCAGTATAACTGCACTCATCATGAGGAGAAAAAGACGGGATACTGGTAAATGTTCTATGGGAAAGCAATAAAACTGCATCTGGTATTTAATAATAGTAAAGCAATTGCAAAAAAAAAAAAAAAAGTATTTTATTGAAAAAGTCATGCTCTGATTTATTATAACCGCTTCTTCTTATTTCAGGTTCAGTTTCTGGGACGTCACAGAATCAGTACGTTTATGCACAAAGTGAGTAAATAAAATCTTTAAACTGAATTTCACTGCTCTAATTGATTATGAAAGAAATATTTTTTGTGATTGTTTACTTTTCCAACAGTCATTTTAGCAGCACAAACGATTAATAATAAATTTACTTATATTTTACATTGTAGGGATAATTTACAGTTTAACCCAAAGAATGGGCAGTCTGTCAGATGAAGAAGAGCCGGAGTCAGAGATTGAAATAAATAAATGTATAAATATAAGTGTGTTTACCTAATTGGTTAAAACACAGATAGACTAGGAACATTTGCGTGCGTACAATTCTGAACAATATCTTAAGCATATAAATGTCAGACATCCACTAGAATGTTTAGAGCTGACCCCAGACCTGTGAAAAGGATCCACAATCAAGTAGAACGCACACACTTAAAGTACAATCTGTTTCTTACCCAAGGTTAAGTGTACTCTCAGCTGTCTTTATCAAAACTGGTTAAAAACCGCTAGAATCTACATTCAGGCAGTTATATCCTTACAACACAAAGTCTATCTTGAATAAAGAGTAGAATCACTTTAAACAGAATTAACACATAATAATATCAAAATCACTTTAGACAGTATTAACACATAGCAATTCAAATAGGAAAACAGTTGTACAGTTGTTTTCAATCATCAAGCCCTTCAGTTCCACTCGATGTCTCCATGACCTCTGACATAATTTGTTGGCTCCTGAAAATAGTCACAAAGAGACAGGCAAATACACTGATCATTCTTTTATTAAGCAATGTGTTAACTTTATTCATTATTCAAATAATCATATTAATAAAGTAATGAGAAAAAGGATAAATGTTGATCCATGCTGGGATAGATTGGAAGGCAGAAACCTGAACCATCAACATGCAGTCTTGTGAACTGATTTATTTGCTCTTTTCCAGCTTCGGTGCAAGATGCGACATGAACAAGGATCTCAAATCACCTCCAGTTCTGAAGCAGTATACTCACAGTATTATGTCTCCTGTGGATGTCAGACTTTGGGAACAGTTTTAGAAGGAAAACTTTATGAAATCATGAAAATTTCAACTCTGACACACTGCAGTAAGTGTGAATAAACCAGTGACTCAGGAGTTTTCTGCCAAAAAGTAATGTTAAACTGAATTTTATTATGAGCTATTCTTCAATTTTGCTCCTATGAATCAAATCACTTTTGTTGTCACATCATTAGCAGCACGTAAGCTATGATGAGTGAAAAGCTTAGGTGCTGGCTCCAGACAGTTCAAAATACAGGTAGTGCAAATACAACGACAATGCAAATGTTACGGTCCCTAACTTAAATATGTCTCGTGACCCAAAGAAAACGTAACATAAATAATCAACGGCAAAAGTGCTCCAGCTAAATTATTTATTAACATAACATAACCAGCAAAACAATCTAAATTGACAAGAGATGGGTAGCCCAACAACATAATAAAGAACAACCAAACAAACTTAAGGGAGGTTGGAGCTCCCCACTCCAAACAAGTATCAAAAGGAAAGCATAAAGGAGATTACAACAATAAAGCCGTCAAAAACTATGGTGGCGTGGGGGAATGAGGTGCCGGTAGAAGTCCGCTTCCGTTTGTTTTAAAGGCCTGATGCCACCAGATCAACCAATAGAAAACTTAAAAGGGAAAAAGACAAACAAGATCAATTGGAAGTAATTATTAAGTGCAGGCGTGAACGCCACACGCAACACCTCCACCCCCAACATGGTGACTGGTAAACAAAACAAAAATACACAAATAAACACCACCCATCGCCATAAGGTAATATGTGACATTGCATCGGCCAGCACATTATCTTTACCGACAACATGTTTCATGTCCAAGTTAAAGGCTTGGACAAACAAAGCCCATCTCATTAAGCGTCGGTTAGAATTACGCATTCTATGACTAAAGATAACAGGTTGTGATCAGTGTAGACTGTTACTTAATAAGATGAAGATCCAATATAAACTTCAAAATTGTTAAGGGCCAAAATCAGCGCCAGAGCTTCTTTTTTTAATTGTGGAGTATGCTTTTTGATGTTTTTGGATTTTTTTTTAAAAGTAGCACACTGGGTGCTCAACTCCATCAAGCCCATCCTGCAATAGCACAGCGCCTGCCCCTACATCACTAGCATCAATAGCCAATTTGAATGTACGGTCGTACACTGGAGCCGCCAAGACGGGTGCATGCATTAAAAGGTGTTTAAGTGACTCAAAAGAATGTTGACGTTCTGGTGACCATTTAAAAACCGACTTCGGACTTAATAGGTCAGTGAGAGGAGAACCTGCTCTCGAAAAGTTTTTACAAAAATTACAGTAATATTCCATCATTCCCAGAAAGCACTGTAATTCGCGACGTGTGGAAGGGACTGGGAATGCCGTGATAGCCTAAATCTTGGCATGTACTAGTTTTACCATGCCACTGCCCACAATCTTACCCAAGTAGACTACCATTGCTTTTGCAAAATCACATTTGGCCAAGTTAACCGTTAAATTGGCATCAGTCAGTTTCTCAAAAACCTGTGTCAACTGATGGATGTGTTCTTGCCACGTTGTTGAATGAACAACGATATCATCTAGATACACCTCACTTCCTGGCACTCCCCCAATACAGATAAAGCACATAAAATGACAGTGCAAAATACAACAGCATACTCCTCAAAAAATAACAAATAAATAAAATACAGGACAATGTAAAATTGACAGCACTATGTACAATGAATAGGTGTCCACATAGTTGTAGCCAGTATTGTTTCAAGTATGGATTGGTTTAAGTGCAGTGCATGCTACATATTGATGGTGTGCAGTGAGGGGTATGGAAGTCTGTGTGAGGTGTGTTACGTGTTCATTAGCCTGATAGTCTGAGGGAAGAAGCTTTCCTTCAGCCGGCTGATGCGTGGTCGGATGCAGCGGAACCGTCTGCTTAAGGGTAGCAAAGAGAATAGTCTATGGCTTGGGTGGCTGGAGTCTCTGATAATTCTCTTGGCTTTCCTCATGCACCGCCTGGTGTAGATGTCCTGGAGGGATGGAAGCTCACCTGCTGCTACGCATCTAGCAGTTTGCACAATAATGTAGGTCTTTGCGACTGCTGCTGGTGCTATTTCCATACAAGGTGGTGATACAGCCAGACAGGATGCTCTCCACAGTGTAGGTGTAGATTGAGCGGAGGATGTAGGGGCTCATTCCAAACCTCCTGAGATGCCTGAGGAATAAGGCATTGTTATGCCTTCTTCAGCATTGCGTCTGTGTAAGCAGTCCATGTCAAATCCTTAGCAATGTGGAAGAGTATTAAATGACTTTTTCTTTGTCATCCAGTGTATTCATTCTAACATTTGTGCTCTAAAATATCATAATTTGGGTTCCGAAGATTAACAAATGTCTCTGGGGACTGGCGCAGCACAAGAATGAATAGCTAATAATAGAATTAAAATTTTTGGATGAACTTACCCTTTCATTATTCCTTAGTATTGTGAACAAAGACCTTTTGATTTAGTACAGTATTAAACAAACAAAAAAGACAAGCTCAATATAATGCATCACATTAGTTTTGAAAACTGTATTATTTATTGTGTACAGTGACAATAAAAATCATTCTATACTATTCTAAAACCATTAGTCATTCTTGCACTTTCTATTTCCTCATATCTGTTTAATTCTGAATTAATTTAGTTCTTATATATTTTGCCCAATCTTAATTACAAATAAATATATTTAGCAAGCCACAGAACTTTGCACACCCTGTACTGGGTTTGTGACATCATTTACTTCCGCATTCTTTAAAATTTAAAAACCTGTACTGGCCCAATACCCTATAAATGTGTTCCCATTATGAGATTAATAGAGAGATTTTTCTTATAATTACTGACATGCACCAACACAATTATTTACAGCAACATAGAACACACAGAACCTAAAAGGTACACTTTCAAATTTGAGTAAAAAAAAAAAATGCGTAGGGGTTTATTATAACAGAGATAACATATACAATTATTTGAATCACTTTTAACAGTGTTTCATAAAAGTCCAAAGGGTCTCTTTACAATGATACCCAACTTTTGCATTTACTCCTCTGCATGTGGATTTGGGAAGCTTTTAAATTGGGTTGGCAAAATCCAGACGGAAAGCCAAAAATAGCACTTGATTAAATAAAATAAAATATTTTAAAGTAATAACATATTAATGTAATAAAATAAATTGAGATTAAATAAAATAATTTGGAATAGTTCACTTAATTTATTTATAAGTTAATAAAACTTTTCAAATAAACTTTTGATAACTTTGAAACAGCAAAAATAGTAGTTTTGTGTAGTTTTTTAAGAGAAGCACATAGCAGGTGATGATACTTGTAAAATATACTTAAAAAAATAAAGAAATCATGTTACGGGAACTATTAAATCACACCATATATACTTTTCTCTGTGTATCAACAGGTTTCCACTTTAACATACTGTAGATAGTTCAGTATTGCACTGATAAGGTAAAGTGGCTTATATGATTAACAGTTCTTTAGGGAAAACCATAGTATTGCTAGGTCTATTTCTTGACATGTATAACATCATGAATCATCATGCAATGCATGCAAAGGAGCAAAAAAAGCAAGCATAAGGAATGTAGCCTACTTAGTATTCTAATCAGAAAACAGCGTTTTTTTGTTTTTTTGTTTTTTTAAACCAGTAAATCATGTTACTTGTTCTTGAACCAAACACTTTTCTGGTTTCAGGAAACTGATGACTGAAACAGATTTACAGAAAGATTAAATAGTGTCTGTATTTTGAGTTATATGGATTATTTTGTATTAGAATTATGCTGTATTTCGTTTATCTGTTGTCCTGTTTGACAGCCATCAAAGCTGGTAGGTAATTTTAAATAAACATTATTTAGTGGTATTCCAAAATATATATACAGTAAGTGAACAATTGAACGTACTCAGATTTTAAAAAGCCACCATGTTTTATTGATATATGCTTAAATTTGATTTCTCATTTTGTTTTTGCTCATTTGCTTACTGGATAAAGTATATTTATACTATAACAAGCAGATGGCCTTCTTATAAGGCAGAGTGAATGTGTTATTCCACATATATACAGAATATAACAAAAATAGCATATAACAATATCTTTGTTACATAAAAATGAGATTTGTATGCTCATACAAAATATAAAGTAAAATTAGAATTGCCCTGTTTTTAAAACACTACTTGATGCTTTTAGGAAAACTAATTTGTTAAAAATGTTATATATGCTTTATAGATTTTTAGCTTAATCTGTCTTAAATAAAACTCATAAATATGTGAGTCAGTTTAGCTCCCGTTTCTTTGAGAGTTAAAAAACATAAAGGCAAAATGAAATTGATATTAATGGCTTCTGACAATACACTTATTTACATTAGTTTTACCTTTTTATCAACAACTTTGACAAATAATTATCAGTGCAATTGTGTGAAGCATGAGCTTTCATAAAATGTATTTTTACCAAGTGCAACATCTTGTTAACATGAACAGCATTTCCTTGTTGTTAGGGACATATTTGTAGTTTATGTTATGTTTAGGCTTACAATTGAGGTTAGCTTGCTCCCGCATTATTATTCATCATTTATTTTTTTCTTCTGATTTTAGGATTTTTTTATGGGTAGGATTAGGTTTGTTCAGCTTCTTCGTTAATTATATTTTGTTATATTGTGTTCATTACATATTTTTTCTTTTTTATTAAACAGAGACATACATTAAATATATATATATAAGTTGAAGTCAGAATTATTAGCCCACCTGAATTATAAGCGCCCCTGTTTATTTTTTTCCCCAATTTCTGTTTATTGGAGGCAAGATTGTTTCAGCACATTTCTATGCATGATAGTTTTAAAAACTTATATCTAATAACTGACTAATTTTATCTTTGCCATGATGACAGTAAATAATATTAGACTAGATATTTTTTAAGACACTTCTATACAGCTTAAAGTGACATTTAAAGGCTTAACTAGGTCAATAAGGTGAACTAGGCAGGTTAGGGTAATTAGGGAAGTTATTCTATAAAAATGGTTTGTTCTGTAGACTATCGAGAAAAAAAATAGCTTGAAGAGGCTAATAATTTTGTCCCAAAACTGTTTTTTAAAAAATTAAAAACTGCTTTTATTCTAGCCGAAATAAAACAAATAAGACTTTCTCCAGAAGAAAAAATATTATCAGACAATCTATGAAAATTTCCTTGCTCTATTAAACATCATTTGGGAAACATTTAAAAAAGAGAGAGAAAAAAAAAAGAAAAAACAAAAGGGTGCTAATAAATTTGACTTTAACTGTGTGTGTGTGTGTGTGTGTATGTGTGTGTGTGTGTGTGTGTGTGTGTGTGTGTGTGTGTGTGTGTGTGTGTGTATATTTATTTATTTATTTATTTATTTTTTGCAGAGATGACAACTATGTGTCAGTTAGACATTGAAATTTCCTACTTTCTACACTTTTAAAATACATCATACCAAAATCATAAAAAATATGAAG